AAAGTAAGTATTCTTAAGTCCCATCTTACAGCTGAAAACACAGAGCTTCAGAGAAATGGCGACACGCGCAGGCTCATACAGCCATTAAAGGGCAGAGCTGTAAATTGAACCCCAGACCATCTAATCTTCCCAATACAGTAATGAAGTTGTGAAAACATGGTTTGTGAGCATCAGTCATCAGATATGTGTTCTGAGAACATGACGTGAAGTTGCAGCTATTTGTGGTTCAGTGCAACATATTCTTTACTGGTGTCATCTCTATAAATTCCAGATAATTTACTCAAACATTCTAAGTAACTTGTATTGGAGTTTTCTTCCAGATGTTATATGTTTATGTACTTTTGTGGCACCTTAGTTTCTTAATATTAAAAGTTAAAATGCCGCCTATAAACAGAAAATGTGGTAAATAAACCCATACATACAGCTATAATAGAGCTAAAATAACTTTTTACATCTTGGGTAGTAATGATTTTCCTAGAAAGGAAGCAGATGAAATCTAGTGTTTCAACATTGGTTCTAATGCTATACCTCAATGAAAATCTATTTAAATTGTATAAATGAAAAATATTAGCAAGTAAGGGTAAAAACAAATTAATTGGCATTGGATTCATGTTAGTTATTTAGTGTTTCTTACATTATTCTCCAGTGGACTATAAACTCCAATATTCTGTAAAATGGACCAAGATGTCAAAATCAAATGAAGATCTTTTCTTACTTTGGAGGAAAAATATATTTAACGTATAGATTTTTATAATTTTAAGTTTTTATAATAAATTATTCTTAAGCCTTTGGTGTCATCACTCATCAAATGTTATAATCTAGCAATAGTATTTGTGATCAAGTGAAAAAAACTTCATTTGAATTACTTTGCTAGATCAGTATTTTGTGGTATTACATAGCGAGTACCCTGACTCCCAGGTGCTTGGCTGCCTGAACTAGTTTGAGAAATTAAACCATCAATGAAGTTACTTTAAACTTTTTCATTAAATGCTCCACTCATGACAAGTCAGCCTTATTACTGTAAAATATGGAATGACTCCTACTGAATAATTATTCAAATACTTATGTGTGAAGTTTCCTTCTTTGCATTCAGCAAATATAATAAAATGCTTATGAAAAATTAATGTCTTAGCCATAGCATAATGGACAGTCTCTTTTAGCCTATTTATACATAAAATGCCAAAATAAACATTAAGAAAACATTTGCAAAGTACATTTAGTAATCTCCTTATACCCCCCAAAAAGAAAACAGCAGTATGAAATAGTTCTGTGATTCTGTGCACTTCATCTCCTCTAGCTGCACAGTACCGAGCTCATCTATGATGGAAGAATATGATCATTTAAATGCGACAAGAACATCTTTGTAAATGGGCCTGTGCCCTTTCAACAGCAGCACAGAGCTAGAATTCATCTCACCATTGGCTCTGCTTCCCGTAAATGAAGGAGTTGAGTAACCAAGAAGCCAGCTAGACCTTCCTCCCTTCCTGAGCTTTGAGGGCCAGGTCTTTGCAAATTCCACCCTTCCTTCCTGAAAGCCTGGACTCAAAAGGGCAGTAACAGAGAGATGGAAAAAACACACACATCCACCCCATACTGACCTTTCATCTCTTCTGAGATGGTCTCAGTGTATTTGCCATGGAAAGTATGCCCAGTAGATATAATACCAAGAATGGCTTTGGGATGACTTTTTAATACGTAGAAAAAATTATTATAGCTGAGGTTTGAAGAACACTATTGATATTCTCTATGGAGAATGTGGGTTACACCTAAGTGAAGTAGCTGAACATTGTGTGCTGAACAGAGATGTTTAGGCGTCAGACAGGTTTATATCACCTTTATAGATCTGTAATAAATAATGGAGCTTGTAAATATCCCACACAAGTATTTTTTAAATAAACTTTTTATTTTAGAATTGTTTTAGATTTACAGAAAAGTTGCAAAGATAGTATAGACAGTTGTCATATACCTGCACCTAGTTTCCCTATTAACATCTTACATTACCGTGGTACATTTGTCACACTAAGAAATCAACATTGGTACATTATTATTAACTAAAGTCTATATTTGTATTTCATTTGTTTTTTTCTAAGATTTCTTTTTTGTTCAGGGTACCATCTAGGATACCACATTACGTTTAGTCATCGTGTCTCCTTAAGTCTACTCCAAACTTACACAAGTATTTTTATAAAGTATTGAAATATAATAGTAGATGCTTTGGGACTTTATTACATATGCAATAATTAAGACAGAATTAACACATGGTCAGGGACTCTGAATTCTGGTCTGTTTTTCCCCTGTGAGAGGAACCCCCTTCATTTCCCAATTCAGAATATTTTAGATGGTGGTGACTTGAGAAAATATCCTTCCTGTACTGGGATAACTCTAGAGAGAGTTAATAAATTACCCCCTTGACACACCATAATTTACTTTCCTCCAAAAACCTACTGCTGTTATATCCACGGGAACACCAGGAAAATAGGTTGTGGCTGTGGATATTACAGTGTGGGGGGAAGGGATCTTTTCTAAAAATAATTAGATATTCTTCAATTAGAAAAAAGAAACTAATGGTGACTAGGTTCACAGGGCAGGCTGAATGCAATAGCCTGTTTATTTTTAACCTACACTAACCTATAACTAAAGATAATGTACAATTTTGTGTATGTATATATAACCATAATTATGAGAGAGAGCATGAAATAGGCTATCAAGAAATAGAATCTGAGGAAGAAAGCAATAATTGTTTTGTTCAATCTCGGAGCTTCTTTTAAAGATGACAGTGGAAAGTCCTATTGACATGGAGTACTTTAGCTCCCATTGCTCTAGTTTCCTGCTTCTTAAAAGGAAGTTAAGCCTAGCCAGCTTAACGACAGAAATATTTTAAGTTAACTAAGGTTTTCCATTCCCAGCTCAGGCAGTGATCACTGCGTGCCTGGAACTGTTGCAGTAACATCATTCGATTCAAGCCTATGTGTGTATATTCTTCTACCCGCCTCTGTTAGCAAACCCCTTCAGTCCAGCCTACATATCACTGCTAGATCAAACCTCCCCAGACACCATTTTTATGGGCTGATTTCCCTATTCAAAAATCTTTAGGGGCTTCCCATTTTCTCAAGAAGAAAATTGAAATTTTTTAGACTGCCATTAAATACCTTCTATGATTTAGTTCCAACTTAAAGTTTTCAACATTATTTCCCACCACTCTGGTATACCAAAGTCCCTACACCAGTCAGATATTTCTTCTTACAGGTGACTCTGAACCTTCATTAAATTAATCATTATAATCATTTTTAACAAACAATTACTTTGCACCTTCGTTACCAGACGCTTTCCTGCCTTGAGTCTTTGCTTAGTTTCTTTCTTGACTCTCCTTTTAAATTTCTATCCTTTCTAAAAAAGACTCAGGTAAAATCCTACCTTCATTCCTCTTGAACTCCCACCTGCCGTCTCCCGCTAGTGATCTATGTCCTGAGAACTCCTGGTTTCAATGTGCGCTCTTAATATGTTGGTATATTTTCTCCTGGACTTATTTTCTGTATTTGCTTACTTATATAGTATCTATACCAAATTGGGGTCATACCAATTAAATGATTTTTCATTCTTTTTCCACTTAACATATCATGAACATTTTCATGTCATTAAATATTTTTGAAATGTGATTTTTAATGATTTCATCAATAATTTACATCAAATTCCACATTGCATTAAGGCATTTCCATGTAGTTGGACATTTAGGTTGTTTCCATTTTTTGCTGTAAGTAATGCTGTCCTGAATATTCTTACTCATCTCTAATTATGTATTTGAGATAAATTCTTAAGAGTAGGCTTATTGAGAATGATTTTTATTAGGTTCTTGATATGTACTTCCAAATTACCTTCCAGATATATTATGCCAATTTTTTCTTCTATCAGCAGTGTATGAACATGTCCATTTTATTACTGTCTCATCAGCACTAGGTGTTATAATTTGCTTATATTGTTTGTTACTTGGGTAATTAAAACCTATCTCGTACTTTTATATATTCTGGTTATAAGGCCTTTATTAGATAGGTATTTTGCAAATATTTTCTCCCAGTCCGTGACCTGTCTTTTCATCATTTTCTTAACAGTGTCTTTCTAAAAGCAGAAGCTTTTAATTTTGATGACTTTCAGTATACCAGATTGTCATGGACTTTGCTTTTGGTGTGATACCTAAGAAATCCTTGCCTAACCCAAAGTCACAAAGATTTTCCCCTATGTTTTCTTAAGAAGTTTTATAGTTGTAGGTTTTATACTTAGGTCTATGATCCATTTTGAGTTAATTTTTGCATATGGTATGAGATATAGATTGTGGTTCATTTTTTCATGATAATTAGTAAAAGATCAGGAATCTTTCCAGGCAAGGAAATTAGAATAACTTGTCTATCAAAGTCATGTTTGTTATTTAAAGCAGAGGGTAGAAGTTTGCCTTTAATGTAATACAGAGTAAATTATTGCTTCTGATTCATATCTTGAGTCAAATTTTGGGCATACCTCAGATTAGTGGATGAAGGATTATTGGAAGAAAACCATACATTATATTACCATTTAGGTTATTTGTTTGAGGGCTAGATTTGCTTATTTTACCTAAACAATCAATGTAATTGTATTAACTAATATGTTTATTTACACAACAAGCAGTTTTGAGGACCTAAGAGGTACAAGGTACTGTATTTCTTAGATGGTATGGGAAAATAATTTCTTTGCAGTCCATGTATAATATGCAATTAACATCCGATTTCTAGAATGAAAGGGAGTCAAAGTAATTAACTTTCTTGAACCACAAAATTATTATTATGTGGGGAACATCTGTCAACATTAAGAGACGGGCTTTTGGGAATGTACTAATTAAGATTATTAAAGGAAAGACTGTGATAAATAAGAAAATCTTGTAGTGAACATAGCTTGGAGTAATTTGTGAAATGGCAAGTTTCTCAGTAGTGGGCAGTGCCACCAAACCTTTTAATCACCTGTTTTTCTTGTAGGTCATTAGCTCCATGAGCTCCCTTTCTGAGTACTGCCTGCCTTCCATTCTGCGTACCTTATTTGACTGGTATAAAAGGCAAAATGGCATTGAGGATGAATCACATGAATACAGACCAAGAACAAGTAATAAATCAAAAAGGTACATTTCTTTTGTGTAGGACTTATGAGGATCATGGTTTCTTGTTTTGTTTTGTTTTAAGAAACATAAATCAAAATAGGAGTTATGAGGCATCTGAGTCCTCCTGCCTCTTCACATGGATACCTAGAAGATGCTGCAGGGGCCCCCCTGTCTAGCAGTGGGACTACTAGTCACTGCCAGCTGTCACAGGTTGAAAAGTCACACATGGCCTCATTTCCACATTGGTGGGGGCGGGGTGTAAAGGACCCCAGGTTACCCTCCTGCCTGCTTCTGTCCTGGGCCCTCTCTCCTCCAGTCTACACCTAAAAGCAGAAGGCCTGCTGCAGGCCCTGCATGACGCTGCCTAGATGTTTTAGTCCTCGTCAGTAACCTTGAGTGCCCAGTGTGCTCTAGTGGGAAGGACACTGGGCTGGATGTTAGCAGTAGTCCTGGTGCTGCCACCAATTAGCCATGTGACGGTGGGCAACTCACCACCTCTCTGTACCTCAGTCTCCTCGTGAGCAAAACAGGGAAGTCAGCTTACACCATCTCCAACTTCCCTTCCAGCTGAGAATTTTGTTTATTTGTTCTGTGGTCTCCTTCTCTTTTGGATTTGAAAAGTGGAACTTGCTGCTAATGAGCACTTCAGCAGCCATAAAACATAAGATTCTCATACTGTTGAACGTGCGTCCCCCCAGATTTTAGGTAAATACTTGTAATTCATATGTTTGAAATCAACCTACAAGGTTGTAAATATAAGGTAGTAAATATAAGAAAGTTTGATACGTTTTAAAAAAAAGGGAGTTTTAAAAAAGTTTTAAAGTTTTAAAAAGGAGTTTATTTTAAAAGCAGTTAGATTTCTCCACATGAATTGATTATGCTTTTTTTTAAGACAGTAACATGAAATTAATCACTCAGAAAATCAGATATTAACTAATTCTTGTGAGTGATGTATCCCTCTCTTTTTTCTTGATACTCCTAATACATCTTTTTAAATATTGACTTCTCTTGAAATTGAAGACCTGTAATTTTACCAAATTTCATTTCATCTGAACTTGAAATTACGTTTTATAATATGCTTGAGTTTATGCAAAATTCAATCATTTGTTTATCATTTTGTTTGGGGAAGAAATTAATAACTTTGTCATATTGAATAATTTTTTTTAGTTGAAGAAGGAATTTTTTATTGAGATATAATTCACATACTGTAAAATTTACTCTTTTGAAGTGTGTAATTTTGTTTTTAGTATATTCGCACGGTTATGCAACTGTTACCACTGTCTAAATCCGGAACATTTCATCACCCTAAAAAGAAACCCCATACCAATTAACAGTCTCTCCTCATAAATACTTTTTTAATGTATCAAATTTTAAAGGTAGAATTTCAATTCTGTCTGAAAATGGTTCAGACTGTGTGATTAATAAGTTAATAGGATCATTTTATTATTTTTCCCATATTACATGTTAGCTTTTGAACAGATATGAGAACTTTCCTGGGGGTAGGGAGTGGTGGTTTTAGTGAGTTGAATTAAGTGAGTTTTACTTTTGTTTCTCTGTTTTGTCAGAATTTAGTTACTAAAACTAGATTTTTCGGGAATTGATTTCTTCATGGATTGCAAATAATAGGTTTTTTAACATGTTACTGATTAGTTTCAGGAGATCAGAGTAATTGCCGAGACCAAATACAGAATCAGGACACTGAAATTCAACTCACTAGCGTTTTAGTTAGCATTTGAAAGTTTAAAATAAAGAGAGAGAGAATGTGTGTTTGGGAGAAAGCCAAAAGAATGCGGGTCTCTAGAGTATGATGTAGCTAATAATGTGAGTTTCTGTTAGAAAAAAGAAAAGAGGAACTTTAGCGGGGAGCATAAGCAACTGAAAACAGTCAAATGTGACGGATGTCTATTTGGGTTATGATTTCTAAGATTAGTATAATATCAACATTTTGCCTGCCAAATAAATTTGTCAAATGCCTCTGGCTGCTGGCAGTTAGACCTCAAACCAGCAATAAAGTTGAATTCATTATTGGAAAAGTATATACCTTACTTTTATTTGAAAGCATAAATTGGCTTATTAAATAAAATGGAATCAGGGATTTAAAATTTTTTTTTGTAGAAACTGCTACTTGCTCAATGTCCCTTGGTCTCTTTTGAAGACCCTTATTAGCCATTCAAGACAAAAATTTTCTCTCTACTGCTGCGGCCATCTTTGCGAGTTCTCCTTCCTTTTGGTCTTCAAACTTCTTATTTCCTTATTCCATGATATAAGCTCTAGGTCAGACCTGTGCATGCCCTCTTTTTTTAGTGTGGTTCCATATGTTTTCCTCACCTCCGCCTGGCAGTAGCACTTTCTAGTTCTAGTGGGCCTCGAAGGACTTCAGATAGATGGTTTGGTCCAGTCCTCTTCCACCAGGCAGGACTGTTCATAATGATTCTGAATGAATGAGTTTCTACCCTGTCCATACATTTCTCCTTGAAACTTAAAGCTATAACTTCCCTTGTTAACCCAGTCTGTCGTCCACCAGCCTTAATTTGACTTGCTCAGGGTTACAGAGCTCCTCCAGAAGTTCTTTTTTATATCTTAAACATCACCTTCTTTTCTTTTCATTTCGTCTTGACTGAAGAGAAAAGCAATCCATATTTAAAATATTCTTGATTTATTTTGAAAATATCTGCCTGACAAGTTCAAATCCTGTCCTTCTTTCTCACTGATTTAATTTAATATACAAGTATTGAGCGGTTATGCTTTTGGGAGACTATGCTAAATACTTGACATGTTTTCTCAAGCAGACCTTTCTATAATTATTATTATTATTCCCATTTTGTAGATGGAGAAATTACTGGTAAGAAGAGGCATAAGTTTAACCCAGGACTGTTCCGTACCAAAACCAATGCTCTTATCCACTATTCTGTGCTAAGGAACTCAGCAGTCATTTCATTTGTCTGTCTTTGTTCAATTCCAAACTAGCCTTCAGTCGGTATGTTAGATAAGCAGAAAATGGGGGGTGTGGGATGGACTTACATTTCTGTCCTTCTGACGGTGGTTAATTCTGCTCCCTAACTTTTGAATGAGTTCAAATGACTCCAATTTGCCTTTTCTACCTCTTTTTCCATCTACTTTTTAATCCTTCTCTTTTCCAACACCCCTTCACTTCTTTCTTCCTTTCATAATCTCAAGTGGCAAAAAGTCAAGAGGAAAGGGACAGGGAAACAAAAATAAAGAAAAGAAAAGCAATTCTGATCTTTTCTCCACCCCCTCTAGTCCTGCACCAATTGGTGATCATATTATTTCCTTACTATTTCCTTACATTATTTAGCTTCTTTCACAGGATCCCTTGAATGTATACCTCTAGTGTGGTAGCCCTGCCTCATGTCTGTGTCCATTTTACAGATGACAGAATTCTTGGGTTGAAAAGTACCTTAGAAAAGTCCACAGGATGAGGTCATAGACTCACAAATAGCTACTCAAGTTGACATGGTTGAAAATTTTAAATCTCAAGGCAAATATTCTGATCCACTAAAGTTTGGCCCCTGCACCACACTGATAATAGGAATAACTTGAGCATGTATTTACCACTGCAATCTTGTACTAACAAAATTGGTTCTCAGTCCACTGGGGATGAGTCCTAGATGTTTGATGCATTATATCACTCCGAGAATATCTTCAGTGCCATTTAATGTGAATATTTTAAATTTTACAGTGATGAACAGCAGCGAGATTATTTAATGGAAAGACGGGACCTCGCCATTGATTTTATTTTTTCTTTAGTATTAATAGAAGTTTTGAAACAGGTAGGTCGTTAATTTAATGTTACTTTTAGACCAGATTTATTTATCTCACAACTACTTAACTTTTTAAAGTATAAGTTTATTAAATTGTTCATAAATTTCAAATACTGGGTCATATGAATTAAATTTATTGATTGCTAAAGGCCATATATAGTTATTGGAAGTACTGTTACTAATTTGATCTTTCATATTCCCTTCCAAGTTAAGAGCCATCTCTTTTTTTTTTTTTTCAGATTCCACTTCATCCTGTAATAGACAGTTTAATACACGATGTTATTAACTTGGCTTTCAAGCACTTTAAATACAAAGAAGGGTAAAGTAATTTCCGACCTTAGAATTTTGAAGAAGTTGGGTGCTTAAAACTAAATCAAGTTTGCTCTTTTCAGATGACCAGTGATCCCTCACTTGTCTAATTATATCTTATTTAGGTACCTTGGTCCTAACACTGGCAATATGCACATTGTGGCAGACCTGTATGCAGAGGTCATTGGAGTGTTGGCACAAGCTAAGTAAGTGAACATCAGAACCCTTTCCCATAAGAGCATGAGTGCCTCTTTTATCCCACTCCAGCCCTACTCTCCGGAAGGGGGCGTATGTGAGCCTGCAGGGAGCTAAGGTTCTTTTTGTTATGTGTGCCCTGTCTCTGAAACTGACTCAAAGCTCCTCCAAGGCAAGTACCAAGTCTTTTTCCAATTTGTTTTCTACGTTATCTTTTTCACTTGGCAATTGGGCCAGATCCTACCAAAAGTCCATGAGTTTCCTGGTGCAGTTTCAGACTACTTCATGGTCCATGATGCAGTTTCAGACTACTGCGTCAAAGGAAGTGATGGACTAACCAAATTACTTGTCTCTCTGCCTAAATATTCCAAAGAAGTTTATCAGTTTTAAAAGTTTTGTTTTCTATATTCTATGACTGAGTAGTTAACGATACATCATCTGTGAGTGGGAAAATTCCATTCTACAACATCCCTTTACTATAGACCTTACTTAATTCAGCTGAGCTAAAAATGTCCCAGACTCTGTCATGGAAACAAGTCGGGGGAAAAATTCTCATTGCTAAATTTATCTGGCCCCATAACACTACTTAGCAGGCTAGAACAAATTGGTGTTAGCCTATGAGCAATAATAAACTTCTTCCAAAAGTGATGTCACATCCTGTTCACCCATCTTCATCTTGTTCAGCCCTGAGGCAAATCAGGCAAGATCCTGAATGTCTGGATTAGGCAAAATGAGCCAGAGACATAATGTGAATCCAAGCAAAGAGGCCAATTTAAAGCAACAGTGATGCCCTGATCCTTGTGAAATGCAATTCTCAGAAAGAGATTTTTATCTTCAAGAAATGGAATGTCCTAACTTAGTAGCATGGAAAGACCCAATTTATCAAAAAACAAAATTAAAAAAAAGTACTTACTCATCAACCTTACCAAGCCAAAACATAGACAAGAACTCAGGAAACAGACCCAAAACACTCCTTGGCATGACTTATTTAGTCTAACCCAGTTTATCTATTCATCCTGACTACCTATTTTTTCTAACACATGAAACATCAGTGTTAAATGGAAGAGAGGGAGATACATCAACGCCAGTGAGAAATATCAAGCTCAAAGACTGACAGCCACAGAGAGGAAAGAAAAGCTGGCCAAAGCATACCTAAGAACTAAACAGTAGAGTTGTCTGGGCCATTTTGCATCAGACTATATTGTACTTTTATTACAGCCCATTTGTAATAATTGCAGTTCATGAGTCATCGAGAAAAAAAAGCATAATGCGTTTTTGGAGAGATTTCTATTGCAATTGAATAATAAAAGTATTGGTATTTTGAAGGGATAAGCTGCAATTATCTGGCAAATTAATTCATGTGTATTTACTTCATTCCTAGAAAAGATCGGAAAAATGAGTTCTAAAATATGTTTTTTGGCTAATTTGTCAAACCCTGAAACACTCAACATATTCCTTTGTAATTCCTTTGCAGTTGTTCCAGCATCATTCTCTTATGCTGTCATTTGGAAAGTTTAATATGCCAAAAATGACTTTTTTGTGTTTTTCTTAGTTTTTGTGAATTATACATACCAATATTGGTTACTGTAGAATGACCTTCCTTAGCTACATCGATTTTGAGTTGGTTGTGAATAAATTGAGAAACAGTGTCTCAACTGAGCAACATTCTAAGGTTGTAGGAATTTCCACATTAGGTCAGATTTATGATCCACCAAGCCAGCATTTTCTTGCCAACAGTGGCTATTATTTTCTTGATGTCAGTATTTGTCCCAATTCTGCAATAGAAGGTATAAGAAATGCCTCTATTTGGACAATGCTCCGATACTTTCAAATCACAAGAGAACCCCTTGGCCAGTGGGTTCTTGCAGTAATCACAGTAATATACAGTAATCTCAACGATATATTCTCAACCAATCAATGTGTAATTATCCTTTGTTGTTAGGTGGTATAGTCTTAAACTGGTGTCATATTACAAATTACCACTTTCCTTGCTTCTCATAGGTACACCAGGACTATTACTTTATCATTGCCTTAGAAAAGTACAGCCTCCTTTGTTCTCAGGGGGTAAAAAAAAGATGTATGCTTATCTGGTATAGGGTGATTATCTTTTTTTAAAATAAACTTCAGTAATGTAATAATTCTAATTTTAGATTTTATATTTGTTCCCAATGGTAATGCATATGAAATATTTTCTTCATTATTACTTTAGTTATTAATAATTAGTTGTTTAAGGTTTAGCAGAGTCACTATTTTTAATCTTGCTAGTCATAATGCACTTAATTCTTATCATCAAGGGAAAAATTTTTTGCTATTAAGTGATATTCACCCATAGTGTTGACTTTTTCAAAGTCAATTAAGTTAAAATCAGATTTTTAAAGGTAAGTTTTTTTGGTTAAAATCTGATATATTGATTTAAATAGTGATGATTTCTTCTAAGATTCATAACTTTCAAAACTACTTTCTCTTTATGTAATATAATCTTAATGTATATATTCTTATACTCTCACTTTTATAATATGTACTATACATTTTATAGCAGAAGTTTATTTTTATGTGAATATTATAGTATACCACAGATTGAGTAATCATTTAGTTACTAAGGACAGTACTAAACTTTCAAGACATGGTCATTGAAAAGAAATTTATTTTTCCCTAAAATTATTTTAAGGTAAAATAGATCTTAAGTAAATAGATTTTTGGATTATTTTTATGCTAAAATAACATGTTTATGTCACTTGGGACTTTTTAAAGTAAAAGATAGCCATATTTATTTTAAAATGAGAAATAGACTTTTTGCCACTACCTCATGAGAATATTGAAATAGTGAATTATGAAAATAACCTGCCTTTTCCCACCTCTCCTTGTTTTCGTCATGGATTAGAAATGGAAAACAAACTTTCCTAAGTATCTTGTCGTCTTTAAAACAATATAACTCTACCCTATAAGATCACTTTTTCCTTTTAAACTCTCACATTTCAAAGTTAAAACCATAGATAGTTTTTTCAGTGTTTGGGAATAACTTGAATTAAAATATAATTTTTAAAAATCTAGTTTGGAATTATTAAATTTTTATACTCTTAATTGAAAGTGTCACTTCCGTTTCTTTGCCATGCCATTTCTTCTTCCTACACTTTATCCATCTTTACCTCAACTCAGATCCCCTCTGAAGTCTTCTCTAATTATCCAGCCAGAAAGAGCCCCTTTGTTCTCCAATGCCCTGTAGCTTCTTTAAGTCTATTATTCACATAAAAGGCAATGTGATATATGAGAAAGTGATCTGGCCTGGGGCATTCAGTCTCCATAAAGGATCAGAGTGATCCAGGCAAAGTGCCAGGCACCTGCTAACACATCTCACAAATAATAATAATAATTATTATTATTATTCACATGGCTCATGGTCATTGCTACATTGTTTTATCTTCCCAGTTACACTGTACATGTTCTAGTTAGAACAGGGACTACATTTCATAGTGCATGATTGTCTAAGGCAACTGGATATAGTAGAAATTCCTGGAATTTGCATCAGAAGACCTACCTAGGTTTGAGTCTCTTCTTTGTCCCTTTGACCTTCCAAATCTATTTCTTCGTTTGTAAAATGGAAATACATTCACTGCCTGATTCAATGGATTGTTGTGAAGATAAAATGTGATAGAATATAATGTGCATAAAATGTAAAACATCTTATAAATGCATCTTATTGTTATTCCTAGTCTAGACCAGTGCTTTATAAACTTTAGCAGGTCAGAATCACTTATAGGGCTTGTTAAATAAGATTACTGGACTCACCACCAGAGTTTCTTATTCAGTAGGTATAGGGTAGGGCTAAAGAATGTGTATATCTCACAAGTTCCCAGATGATGCTGATGCTGCAGATCTGGGGACCACACTTTGAGAACCACTGGTCTAGACATAATATAGCATAGAGATTAAGAATAGGGACTCTAGAGCCAGACACTTGGCTTAAAATTTTGGCTCCGCCACTTACCAGCTGTGTGAATTTATCTCATTATGAAATCTCTGCCTCAAATTCCTCTTCTGTAAAAAGAGTGTAATCATAGTACCCTACAAGAGTTGTTATGAAGATTAAATGTGTTACTATATGTAAAGTTCACTGAACTTTGCCTGGCATATGGTAAGTGCTATATGTCTACTTGCTGCTATCATCATCATCAATTTTTTTTTCTATAAGAAATAGAAAAGAATTATGACATTGCAATTTGGAATTTATGTTTTCTGCTCCATTGCCTTCTTAAAACCTTTTTAATTGTGAAATATATATAGCAAGCATAAGGAAAAATCCATAAATGGTTTAGAAAAGTACAATTTTAACAAATTGTTACCAAATGAACACCGTGTAACATCTTCCACCCAAGCCAAGAACGAGAAAATTGCCAGCTCTCATGAAGCCCCTTACACCCTACTTGCTGCTCATATACCCCTTGTGCTGCCTTTGGGTGAAACAATATCTATGTGTTGACTGCCTGCTTGATTTGTCCTAAAATTTCTTCTTTGAGGTGTCAAGAGTTTTTGCTCCAAACTTCTGGGATTTTGTTAGTTGGCCATTAACGTTTATAATCATAATTACCCTCTCTAATCATGCTTTGCTCCTAATTGACCCTTTCACTTATTGGGTACCTCAGGCTGATAGTCTCAGGAAAGAAAAACAATGAGTCTTAGAAACTTTCCTTGTTTTTTCTTTTTTTAACTAATAGTCAAACCAGCCATCTCAGGAATAGTTTGGATAACTTTTATGGGTATGTTCCCTTACCCTTAGGTGCTTTGAAGATCTGCTACTACTTTCTGTTCTCTTAGGATCTATTCTCTTTTTAATCCTATATGATAATGTTTTTGTAATTAATATTATTAATTATTAATATTATTTTACTTTCAAATAATACAAATAACCCTAAGTTCCTTGGGGACTGTGTCTTTTTAGTTGTAAAATCTCATACATGTAGTAGAGAGCTTATTCATCTTTTAGATCTGATTTGGATTTTCCCATTACTAGATTTTCCTTCAACCTAAAAATATTTTTTTCGATAATTATTAACCTAAAACTGTAAAAGAAACAATAACAGAAAACTTTAGAAATGGATGTAGGAATGTTTCTTGGCATTATTTGCTGTCACTGTCAGAAATAGCTGGCCTGGTATGTTATTACTCATATGCTCACAATTGGGTACCTAGGCCCTTGGGCTCTGCAAGTATGTTGGAAATGGCTAAGCCTGAAGACATGGAGCTTTCCTCATGCTCATTTTAAGAGCTAGACCATTTCGAGAGGGTCTAAATCACCCTGGATCTTCTCCCTAGCCTGAAGGAGATGTTGAGCATCTTATAGAATAAGAGAAGAAAGGAGAAGATTGGACTTTACCAAATCCCCAATATCAAATCCTTACAAAATGACAGCCATTGTATTTCAACTGATTTGAAAGACCCCTGTCACTGTGCCCTGTCACTCCCTAGATGCTGGAGGCCTCCATTAGAGTCATTTTCCTACTCATTATGTGAAAATCACTCATGTTCTCTTCTTAGATTCCCTGCTGTAAAGAAGAAATTTATGGCAGAGCTAAAAGAATTACGGCACAAAGAGCAAAGCCCATATGTTGTTCAAAGCATTATCAGCTTGATAATGGGGATGAAATTCTTTCGAATTAAGATGTATCCAGTGGAGGACTTTGAGGCCTCTCTTCAGTTTATGCAGGTAATGTCTTGGGCAGAAGATCTATGGGACTAACAACCTGAGCAACTCCCTTCATCAGAATGACTGACCTGGAATGTGAAAATCCATTCACTTGTCAACGTGGAAAAAAGTCCTACTTTTTCCTCAATAATTCATAAAGTGCTTTGTAACCAACAATAGAGTTTCAGGCACATAATTTCATTTTTAAACTTTCATATGATCTTTGGAGTAGGGTGTACGGTGAAATGTCTCATTTGTTGACTTTTTTTCTCTTTTTTACCTATTGGCTACCTATTGTTCTGTGAATTAAAATATAGCTGATTTTTTTACTCTTTAGAATTGATAGCAGTGAGCTGGCTATGTTAACATTCATAGGCGTTAGAACTTCAAATAATGAAGAAATCTTTTTTATTCATACTGTAAAAAGGAATCAATTTTTAAAAAATCAACCAAACCATACAAGTTTTGGTGTCTAGTACACAGTATTCCTCATTATGTGCTAACCAAAGAATTGTTGCTAACGAGGATTTCTCAGAATATGCAACCCTATTAGAGTTTACAAAACTTTAGTATCTGAAGGGATTTTTCTAATGCTGCTGTGAATTTGATTTAGTGAGGATCTTAATCAATAAAAAGTTTAGATATAGAGGTTATGAGTATAGGCTGTACCAATTCATACCCGCTAGGATGGCTGTAATCAAAGGGACAGACAACAGCAAGTGTTGGTGAGGATGTATAGAAATTGGAACCCTCATACACTGCTGGTGGGACTATAAAATGGCACTGCAACTTTGGAAGACAGTTTGGCAGTTCCTCAAATGGTTAAACCTAGAATTACTATATAATGCAGCAATTCCACTTCTAGGTGTATACCCAAGAGAAATAAAAACATATGTCCACGCAAAACCTTGAATGCAAATGTTCATAGCAGCATTATTTATAACAGCAAAAGAGTGGATACAACCCAAATGTCCATCAGCTGATGAATGGATAAACAAAATGTGGTATATCCATACATGGGAATATTATTTGGCCATGAAAAGGAATAAAGTACTGATACATACTACAACATGGGTATACCTTGAAAATATTATGCTAAGTGAAAGAAGTCAGACACAAAATACCACATAGTATACGATTCCATTTATGTGAAATGTCTAGAATTGGCAAATCCGTAGAGGCAGAAAATAGATTAGTGGTTGCATAGTGCTGGAGGAAGCGGGTATGGATAGGGAGGTTGGGGATGACTGTTTTAAGGGGTGAAAAGTTTCTTTTGGAGATAATGAAAAGGTTCTAAATTTGATTGTGGTGAAATGTGTACAACTGTGAATATACTAAAGCCATTGAATTCTATACTTTAAATGGGTGAATTGCATGCTATGTGAACTGTATCTTAATAAAGCAGTTTCAAAAAAAAAAAAAACATGAATATAGGCCATGTATCAAATTTCTTGGGTTTGAATTCAAGGTTCAGCACTTACCAGCTCTGTGACCTTGGGCAAGTCACACTTAATCCCTCCCAGCCTCACTTAGTTTATCTGCAAAGTGGTGTTAATGACACTGACCTTAGAAGGTGATTCTGAGGATTGTTGGCACATGGTAAGCACTCAGTAACTGTTAACTATTTTTATCCCTCTCTCATACTAGTAATTTGTGTATCTGTGTACTTGAATGATGATTTGAGAGAGTATTTACATACATATGCAAAATAATGTAGGAAAAGGCCCACAGTTATGGGAACCATAAAGCTCCATTCTGTACTGGGAAAACTGTCTCGATGGCTTTCCATGCTGGCAATGCCTATCTTGGACCGATGTCTTAGTATGACATTGATAGACTGGAGACTTTATTACCTGTTGTTGGCGATGGTCCCAATGTTGACTAAAAATAAGTGGTAATAACTAATATAGATATTAACATGTCATCACAAATACATGTAGCCTTGGACTCTTCCATGCAAACAATACCTAACAAAGACCACAGTAAGTTACTATCAAAAAGGCCAGGAAAGAGAAAGAGGCTGGCAGAATTTTGAACAGGCCAATTTTCTTGATAAATAATTCCCTGGGCAACCAAAAATACCCTTTCATAGACAGCAGTCCACAGGCAAAGGCATCTTAGCATGAGGAACTATTCCAAAGGTTTCCTTGTCTGAGATGGGAAGGGAAGCATTCCAGACTTGCTTATGAAACTATCTGAATAATAAACACACCTAAAATGTCAGGGCTAACAAGTAAACAGCTCTGTGCCCGGGGCTGTCAGGACCTAAAATAAATTTAATGTCTTCTGCCTCTCTTCCCATGTTTACCTTACTGGGGATCTGTGTTTGTGGGTTAACCAAGGACTCAGGACCCCACACACAGTAGGATAGTCAATAGAAATTTGTTGGAAATGAATGACTGAATGAATCAACCATTAAGTCAGTGGATGAATGTCTGTGTGCTGGTTATAGATGTTTTGTCCTTTCAGCATAGTGATTTGAGATAGAAGTAGCAGGAGAGTGAGAAAACCAGCCTTGCAAAATGTCATTGGGGCTATTGCAAACTTGAATATAAATGCTTGAATCCAATGATTTTTTTAATAGATTATAGAATACACTATGTTAGTATGTATGATTGAATTAAGAACTATTTACTTAAATTTGTTTACATACACACATTTCAGTCTATTTTCCCTCCCTTTACTCTTTCTCTACTTCCTAGGAATGTGCCCATTACTTCCTTGAGGTCAAAGACAAAGATATTAAGCATGCCTTGGCTGGGCTTTTTGTTGAAATTCTTGTCCCAGTTGCTGCTGTGAGTTACATTTTCATTTTTAAGAACTTCTTTAAATTGGATTAGAGAGTCAACAATTTCATTAATATAATATTAACATGCATCTCTATTTCAGGCTGTTAAAAATGAAGTCAATGTTCCCTGCCTTAGAAACTTCGTTGAAAGCCTATATGATACCACGCTGGAACTTTCTTCTCGAAAGAAGCATTCCTTGGTTAGTAACTGTGAGAAAATCCAAAACACAAAACTGCAGAGACTAAAGTTCCTAGGCTGAAATCTATTTGAGAGTCATAAGAGTTCCACAGATGGGAGAATTACCTACAGCTCCCTCAAAAAGTGTTAGCATTTCAAAATTTGGAGTTTGCACTTAGTGTTGACCGTGATTGAGTCACAGTGATATGAGGGGATTAGACCATGTCACCTGAGATGACCCTTCTAGTCCTAAGGATTCCGTTGTCTATTTGCAATATTGGCTTCACTTGATTTTTGTTTTAATTCCTGAGTTTTTTTTTCCAATCTGAAAGCTGAAGTTTATAACAATTTCTCTTCTCAAACCCCAGGAGCCTTCACTGGCTAATTGCTGTCCTGATATTCAGAATCAAAATGGAACCAGGCAGGAAAGAGAGTTGGGAGACAGAGAGTTGCCCATAGGAAAGATTCTCTGGAGGCTGCGAAAGCTTTTGTCCTGAAGAGCAATATAGAAAAGTCTTTTAAACTACCACAACCTTTTGCCCTCAGTGGTAAATAAAGCTCTGGTTTATGAATCGGCAAGCAGTATACCAGCTGTAATTGCAATAGTATAGAGGAAGCACGTTCCTTAGGTAGCTGGTTACTGGCACGGTTTCTGCTAGTCTTCAAATATGAACATTGCCACCATTACTTGAGCACGTCCTCAGAGTTGCTTTGCTGGCAACGGTGACAAATTTGCTCATTTGTCTATATTCTGTGGTCATTGTGACTACCTGCTTGTATATATATATATATATTTTTTTTTAGATTGCTGGCTGGAATTAGAGTTGCACTCAGTGGTAGCAGTAGTTCAAAGTCAATTTAAAACTAAGTTAGTGGATTGCTTAGCCCTGAATCTCATTGTGGCCATTGTTTTTAGCAAATTCAAGTTAACGTATGAGCGAGTTACATTTTTGTTTAAATCTTCACTAGCCTTAATTTTTTGGGAGCCATAAAAGTGTATGCTGTCTATCTGGTTTGGCAAAATGGTGATGGATTCTGCATCTCTGTTTTTCGGGCGGCCGCTCATTAGCTTTTCTGTCTTCTCCAGTTGCTGTGGGAAGCCAGCCCAGTTAGACAGGAAAAGCACAGTAGCACCTCTGTTTATTCGGTCGTAAGCAAATTCCTCCTGTGGTTAAATTTGTCTTGGAGGAATTTACCAATGCAATAACATTTCTTTTAGGAATCTTCCTTAATTACAGGAAGATTGCATGCAAAAGAAAATATATACACCTACCTCTAAGACAGGGACAAACTAGTAGATGTTTATGAACAAAAAAGCTAATAATGTTTTCAAAATTACTATATCTTCCTGCTTTTTTCTGAAGATTGAGAGTGATCCAGGATAGTGAGTTTGTTTTTAATTCATAAGTGAAGACTAAATCAGTGAATCGGATTTCTACTTATTATACATGACACTTATTATACACTATACATAACTCTAGATTATTCCATCCTCATCATCATCAGAAAGCATTTGCGAAATGCCCGCCTCTGCATGGCACCCATAGGGCCTTGTTGTGTTACAAAGCATCCTTTTTATTCTGGCCCATACAGCCTCAGAGGGAGATGGGTAGGTAGTGGTTCCAGAGAACATGTGTTACCTGGCTTGTTGAAATATAAATCATCCTGTGACCCATCTTCTTTCTCCTCAGGCCCTGTACCCCCTGGTGACCTGTCTGCTCTGTGTCAGTCAGAAGCAGCTGTTCCTGAACAGGTGGCACATTTTCCTAAACAACTGCTTATCCAACCTTAAAGTTAGTATTTGTTGGCTGAAAAAAGTCTTTTATAAGAATATATATGAGTCTTAGGCTGGTATATGTGCTTCTGAGAGTAATTCCTGATGTTTGTGGGGGAATTATGATGTATTATTGGAATAATGAAAAAAATATTAATACGGGTTCTCCTTATTAAAAATAGGCAGTTTTAGAAGGTGACTAGGGATAAGAAAAATGACTTCACATTTTGGGAAAAAATCTTTTCTGATAAGGGTCACTTTAAAGGTAGAATTAAATCCACCTTTATATATATCGGTTGTCACATTTCATCTAAATGATTTTTAAAAATGGAGGACACTCTTCACGGGCAGAGGCATGTGAACTAATTTTAGAAGCTCACCTATACCTCCTCCCTCCTTCCTCTACCCCCTCCAGCCTAGTGAAATATTTAGGGGAAAAAGTTCTATTCTGTGGGAGGTTTGAGCTAGCAACGGAGAACACTTATTTCCTGTCACTGTTACTTGTGATTATTTGAGGGTATTTTATGCGAGCCACATGACAGTCGGATCAGTCCTAAGCATTCACTGAATGACTGCTCTCAGGTAGGCAGCACAGGTGCTGGGTGATATGAGGAATAAAGTCACGGTCCCTGAAATTGAAGAACCTGCAGTTAATACAACTGTAATGATTAGCTTTAAAATTGGCTTGATAACTTTAAAGAGGTAAACATATTTTAAGTTTTAGTGACCTATTGATAAAAGACAACTAAATGAAAACCATCCCTAACATAAGTGCAAATAGCGTGTATTTTTCATGATTGTTCCCAGTTGTGTCCAAAGATGTTGAATTTATTTTACAAGTTTGATATTTGCTTCTTTAAAATTTTTGAACTATATTTAGTTGTAAAATCCTGTATGTGCTTATACATGTTGCCTTGTCTTCTTTTTTTCTGAAACACTTTAATTTAGTGAAGTGGTTAAGATTAATTATATTATTTTGGCATGTACCATAATCACACAGTAATCTGCATTAGAGCTGTTTTAAGCACCAACTGTGTATTGGCTCTAAAAGCTGATTGTGAAATCCAAGATTAGAATCATTTATTTTCTTCAAATTGGCAGTGAAACATAATAGCAGTGGATATAGAATTAAGCTTTTAAGCATTCTGAAAAACAAAATGCTTTTCAGGGTTATCAACCATTGTATAATGGCCACCTTCAGATATTTTATTCAGGGATTTATCTGTCTGTCATTCACCTCTAACCTGCAGCCCAATGTCATTTTTTTATTATGTGGTGCACTTTTAAGTTATCCAGTTATTACTTTCAGTTAAACATAGTTTTTTTTTTTTCTTTTACATGTTACACAAATAGAAAATGGTCATTTTGTTCAAAACAAAAAGGAAATGATTAAGAACGTTCACAGTGCATTTTTCTGTATATATTATGCTACATACGTTTGTGATGAATTTTTGTTAGAATTAAAATAATATCTCACATGACAATTTATTGTTAAGGCCAAAAAGACCAAAATTTTTTCATCCAAAGGTGCTTTGGAAATATAGCAGCATAATCTTACTCGGGAACTTAATTGCTTCAAAGTTAGAATATTCTTTGGCGCTCTGGTGAAAGCCCACCGAAAGGACTTAATAACAGGGTTATAAGTGGCCCTAGAGAGAAGTGGGGCTGCACACTGACGGTGTTTCCCCATGCAAACATTTCAAACATTAGGATTTCTAAAAGAGAAAGGCAATAAGGTCAGAAAGAATATAGAGACTCAATAGTATAGAGAGATTGAACCCCATCCATAATTCAGTTCAACTCACGGTAGTTATGAAGTGCCCCTGTGTGAGACACTAGGGAAGGTGCTGGAAGTGGGAAAGAGGGGAAGTCAACTGTCTAAAAACTAGGTATGGAATAAAGTCCCTGTCTTTGAGGAGCTTAGCATTTCCTTGGGGGATATGTAATGAAGTTGCAGAATGCATGATCCAGACAGTGAGGGATGTAAAAGTTGGGAGTAGGGAGATACTTGTGCCATTTGTAGAGTCTGCTACCCCATGAAGCATGAAAGAGGTCGTTATTAGGCAAAGTAAAGGCAATGATATTTTACTTTATGGGTAATAAATTCTTGGAATTCATCATCCCAACGCTAAAAGATATAAAAATATCCTCGAGGAATTGCAATCGGAATAAAATTGTTTCACCTATATTTAGAACTAAACCCAGTAAGTTTTAAATGGAACCATTTTAAAATGTCATAAATATACAGAAAACCTTCCAAACCTACTCACGAGTCCTCAATAGGGAAGAAATACCTGAATAATGTTAGTTAACATGGCTTCAGAAGTATACTTTGTCTTGAATACCTTCAGTATTTTATGGGATTCAGAGCCAATTATATTGTTTCATAGAGGACCACCAAACCAGCTCTTCCCCCATTCCTCTTCCCCATTTTGCCCTCCAGCATCCTTCCCCTTTGTCTCCCCCTCCCCTACACATGCTTAAGTATAATGAACCTAGTGTTTGAACCCTACACGTTGAACTTGGTAGCCATCTTTGATGTGTTCTGCAGAGCTGAGTCATGAAGGTGGCAGCTTGACATATAGCAGAATAGGAGTGTGTATGATCATGAAAAATCTGTTGCTTTCAAAGTAAACAAGCTCTCAGATTCAACGCTCATTTAGTATCAGTGACCTGGTTTATCCTGAGTGTCACTCTGTCAGAAGCACGCTGCTTTGGTAACACAAACTTGAAGTCTTTATTTACACTTAGTTAACTTGGTGAACCCATATATTAGCAATATACTCTTGTAAAGTGATGAGAAATTTACAGCACCTTCTCGCCACAACATTGACATCTTTCAGGAGCTCTTGGTCAGCAGTTACCTCCTTTTTTCTTCTATATATTTTAAGTCAGAGTCTGAACATATTGAGCTATAAAAAGATGAAACATTTCCTTCACATCTGCCATAATATACCTAATTCTAATGAAAGGAAATATGTTTTGGAAACTTGATTTAATGGTACTTTTAATTTTTGTTATGAATCCCCACTTATTAATAGTTCCTTTAAAATGTAGTATTTATTAAGTGTTCATAATAACTGCATGCTAGCTTCTTATCCTTCAAAATGGATGTGCTTAGGAGAATTTGTTTATTTCTTTTCTTTTATAATAATGGATATAATACACCAGTGAGGTCCAGATTACAAAAACAAAACAAAACCAAAAAAGAAATCTCAAAAGCTAAGCAATGTATTTACTCTTTGGTTAATAACAATAACAATAGCTCTCATTAATTGGAGATCTATTATGAGCCAGGCTAGTGGTGGGGGCTTTACCTACCTTGTCGTGGATTATCATGGCAATGTCACAGGCTGCATTGAGCTCTCCCTATACTTTCCTGGATATTATTTATGTTTTTCTAAAAATTTTGCTCAGATAGCAATACTTCATCTGAAGGTTAGACATTAGTCAGCCTAGTTTCATAGTCTTAGAAACCAAAATACAGAATTAAAAATGATTCTCCTGGGGCCAGCCCAGTGGCACAAGCGGTTAAGTGCGCATGCTCCACTGCGGTGGCCCGGAGTTTGCAGGTTCGGATCCC